AAATCTAAGCTGGGGGAATTGAGCATCCTGCCCAGAGAAATGATCCTTCTCTCACCTTGCCTATATCAGTTGCCTCATCTACATTTCGGGCTAAAAGACAAAGAGACTCGCTTCAGAATGCGTTACCTGGATCTTATAATGAATGCTGATGTCAGGAGCAGGTTTAAAGTACGGGCTCGTATCATTAACTATGTCAGAAGATTTCTTGATGGAATTGGTTTTCTTGAAGTAAGTAGCTAATAGCCAAAACAGCTGGTTCGAATTTTTTTTTACTTTATTTTATTTCTACTATTAATAGGTTGAGACACCAATGATGAGCAGAATTGGTGGGGGTGCAACTGCTAAGCCATTTTTGACACATCACAACGACTTGGACACGGACCTGTTCCTCCGAGTTGCCCCTGAACTCTACTTAAAAATGCTTGTTGTTGGTGGTTTTAATCGTGTATATGAGCTTGGACGAGTCTTCAGAAATGAAAGCATTGATCTTACGCACAATCCCGAATTTACCATGTGTGAATTTTATATGGCTTATGCAGATTACAACGATCTCATGACCATCATTGAGGATCTTCTTTCTGGTGAATTTACATGACATTTTCACTTATTTTTTTTCATTTAGAAATAACTTATCCTTACAACATTAGGTATGGTCCTTGAGTTGTTTGGCACCTACAAATTGTCATACAATCCCGAAGGTGACTCTATGAGCTCGGTCGAAGTTGATTTTACTCCACCTTTTCGTCGAATTGATATGTATTCTGGATTGGAAAAGGCTCTTAATCTAACGTTACCACTACCAGATCAACTTCATACTGAAGAGGCTCGTCTTCAATTAGATGAAATTTGCACGCTTAAGGGTATTGAATGTCCAGCTCCGAGGACTTCAGCTAGACTTTTAGACAAGGTGAATTCTCCTACTATACTTGGCATCGTTTTCATTTTTCATGTTTCCTCCTAAATCATAATATTTTAGCTTTCTGGTGAATTACTGGAATCTTCTTGCATCAATCCGACTTTCGTGTTGAATCATCCTCAAGTCATGAGCCCTCTCTCCAAATGGCATCGCTCTCAATCTGGTCTGGCGGAGCGTTTCGAATTGTTCCTTCTGTCTAAAGAAGTTGTCAATGCCTACACTGAACTGAATGATCCATTTGTGCAAAGGGAACGCTTCGAGGAACAGATTAAGGTCAGTATTTCTACTTTTACTCGTACACCTTTGTGTGTGTGCATTCCAAATAGTAGAATCCCAAGTTTTGGTTATCTTATTTAAAATCAAATTATTTACGCTCTATACGGCATCACCACACAAACTTAATTTGTTCATTTGATTTGCATTTCCGTGTTCGATATCATTATTTTGATTATTTACATTTGAATAGGGCATTAACTTGAATTAAGAGCTCTGAGGTGTGGCCAGAATTAAACAGGCACTACTCATTTAACCTGCCTATTTTCAT